GAAGTTGTCCTATCACTGATTCATCAAGCAAATGGCAGATAAAATAGAGGAACTACCTTCATCCTCTCACTTCTGTGTTAAATGGGGACCTGCAACACAGCCAATGCACTGAAGATGGAACTTGGGCTCCTGAGAGGCCTAAATACCATGTGGCTTCTTTTCTGTAGACTGACCAGAGCTGCACAATCCATTCTGTATTTGTCTATAATGTCTACAAGATCCCTTAATGCTCTCTACAAGATGAGTGCCGGGAGGACTGAACACTCGTGGGGAGACTTTCACAGTAACCTTGAAGCTACTCAGTGAGCCTGGAGGAAGGCTGGGGTGAGGGGAACAGATCAGGTTTGTAGGAGAAAAACAAACAGTGCCAATTTTAAATGGAATCAAACTCACTCTTCCCTTGCAATAAAAAGCACAAACAAAGCAAACAAAAATTTTAAGTCCCCTATTATTTTTTTAATGGTTGTATCCCATTGTTTGTGCAAGATTTGTTCTTGTGTTTTTTCTTGAGCAGTTTATATTGCTTTTCCATTTAACACACCTGTGCTCTTGATAGAAAAAGCTGAGAAAATTGAGCATTAATCTGAGGCTAGCTGAGCTGAGACCAGCTGGATGAGTGAACTTGACTTTGCAGGTGGCACTTTGCAATTCTCTGCTGACCTCTAACATGAGGAAAGGTGACAAGGTTTGCAACATTGCAAAAGGCTGTTACAAGCTGGAAGGTGATTCATGTTGTGGAAAACAGGTTGGTAAGTAACAGGAGGTGTAGGAGGCTTTCTGAGGAAAATAAAACCATAAAGTGAAACATTTCACTTAATTAAGCTGCCCCATTTTACAGTAGGGAGATCAAAGGAGGGAGGAATTGGAGAAGCAAAGAATGCTGTCTGTCCCATAAAAGATAGGTGCAAGGGGAAGATAAGCCTAAAAAAATAACAAGGGCAACCTTAAATGTCTTATGAACGAGCTTATTAAAGCAGCAAAACTAACCAGAAGGGAGGACAGGGGAGGCTTTTGGCAGGCAGTATTTCTGTGTGGCACAGCCAGGTCCCAATGGACACTGCATATTGATCAGCCTGCACACGGGACTACCAGGAGAAATAAAGGAAGGGGTTTCACTGAAGAAAGGGAGAGAAAGCAACTGAGAGAAAAGAAGATGAAGAAGGATGAAGTTGAGTCAGGAGGGGTTTAGATTGGATATCAGGAAAAGGTTATTCACCCAGAGGGTGGTTGGGCACTGGAACAGGCTCCCCAAAGAGGTCACAGAACCAGCCTGACAGAGCTCTGGAAGCATTTGGACAATGTTCTCATGTACATCCCATGACTCCTGGGGGTCCTGCATGGGGCCAGGAGTTGAACTCCATGATCCAAATGGGTCTCTTCCAACTCAGTGGATTCTATGATTCTAAAATTACATGATTACAAGAAAATCTGAGGGCTTGTAAGGGAACTCATTAAATAAAAAGAAAACACAAAGAATTCAAGAGGCCAGGACCATATTCAGATCTGGAGTATAAAGAGGTGAGACATTAAACCCCTCAAATGGACAAGAGCAATGTGTTGGGCTGGTGCTTCTTCCTGCAGCTAAGTGACACAGACTGCCAGGTTCTTACTTTGCTCATTCAGATGTTTTTTTTGATCTCTTGACAAATCAGATCAGTAAGATATCTAAACCCATCAAAACACTTGCTGCTGTCCTGGCTAGCATTTAACAGTCCTGCATTCTGCAGTAGATCAGACTGAGTGTTAATCTGCATCTTTAAATACTGATATTTCTCTAAAAATCTGACCTTAACAACATTTACTCACTGATAAGTGAAATGACTATTACTCCTGTGTACCCCATCAGAATTTCCAAATGGGCACTATGAGTTGCTGTGATCCTGCAATTGCTATAGCTCAGTAAATAAACTAGAAAAGTTTTCTTCCTCCTAATTCACTGAAAATCTTGTTCAAAAGCAGTCTGTGATTTTTGGACGTCATTATGAAAACTCTGCTTCAGAATACAGAGCACATTTTAACGGAAATTCTCCATGGTTTCTTTATTAATGGACAATTTCCTGAGAGAAACCCAAAAAGACTGGAATAAAACTGGATTTGTTATCTGGGGACAGCTGCAGATATACAAGTCCAATTTTTTAAACAGCTAAAGCAGATAGGGCAAAAGCTCTCTTGGTTTTCAACTCATCCTTTGTGTCAGGGCTGCCTGCTTCATGGTTTTCTTTCTGTCTCTTTTTATTTTCACCTTCCAAATGGAAACAGATTTGAAGCCTTGCTCTGTTTAATTCCCATTATTTGCACTTGCACTTTTATACCACTGAGAGAAGTTAAAGAGCTGTGTGTTCTGCAGTGTCAGTGGTGTGGAGTGTGCCAGAGGTCCCCTGCCACGGTGCCCAGGGGTGTTTTGATGACAGCAGAGGGCTGGCAGAGCCTGCCACAGCTCAGGGACGTGAGCAGAGAGGGGCTGCTGCTGCCTGAACCCACTCAGCATTGCGAAGGCATGATATCATGGTCATGTTGGGAGTTTATCTCACACACAGATTGCCACAGGAAGCATTTTGTCAAAATTTCAAAATCAAAGTAGTCACAGTCTCTATAGTGAGCAGCTTTATTTACTTAGGAGATAAAGGCAGCAGAGCAGAAAGTTAAATTAGGGTATGCAGTCTCCTGCTTCTGTATAAATGCTGAAAGGAAGTCAATGCGTTTCTCAAAGCCAACCACCAAAAGAAATGCATTTCCTAGAATAGCCATTTTTAGACTTTGCCTGTAACTTAAAGTATAGGAAATATAGAATCAGAGCAGTGTTAGCTATACCAACTATAGGCAACACTTACAAGGGGCTAAAATTTCAAACATGTTCTAGCAACTTAAAAAAGGGCAGATTATCCCTCTGGCTTTGTTTCTGGGCATTCCTGAACCACCTCATAGCTGACAAAAAATGACAAAATTAAGGCAGAGTATGTCAGTGGTCTTCAAGGTTCATGCTGCTTCTTTTCCTTGCCTTTTAGCACAGCACTGCTTGTCCAGATCCCACCCTAAATCCATTCATATCCAAGTTTGGCATAGCCCATCACAAGCCAAGACCATGGCATGAATCTACTTATTTGGATACCCTACATCGAACTACTGAGCCTGAAGTATTTTGCAATCCAGCTCACTAAGGGAACAGATAAAAAGTTATGCAACAATACATTTACCTAATCTATATAGTAAATATGATAGATATCTTTCTTCTGACAGCTTTCCTCAGTAAATCCACTTCCTTTCTCACTCCTTGGTCAGACAAACTCCTACAGAAATCCACTGACTATGAAGGTTTGGAGGACTTTTAAGATACTGTTTTCTTACAGCTGTTATCAGGTGCTTAAAGGAAGCACTTGGAGAGCTAAGGGCTGGCTAACAGAAAATATTTATCTTTAAACTTTCCAACTTCTACAAAACTTGCAACCATGGATATTCAAATCAGTGATAAAGATCAGCACTGACATGCTTCAGCATGGCATGTTTCCTTCCTTGAGAATCCCAGCTCAACCATGTGATGGCTAATACACTCAAAAATGCAATGAGCTTATGACCCGTCTATCTGTGCAAAGTGTTCATCCTTATGGGGCACTCTGAGTTTTTCAAGAGAGTTATTTTAATCTCTTTAGATGCCATGGGACCAGCTATTGTTCTCCTTGGCACCATTTTTGTAGCTAAAATTAAATTAATCTGATCTTCTTAACCAGCCGTGGAAGTTGCACACACACAAAAAAATTAAATTTAATCTTCTTTTTGGGGGCACTGTGTATTTCACATGACAGAGAGATGCGTAAGCTGGCAATGCCTAAGTTGTCCAAATAAGTTGAGATTTGGTCCATCAGGGCAGATCATGGGCAGGCCAAATTATGAGCTGTCCTGGTCTTTGGAGGGAGAGAGCTGGTCTGAGGCTCATCCTCAGCTGAAAGAAGGGAATCAGCACCTGGGGCCTGACCTGCCGAGCGCTGGGACCACCACGTGCAGCAAACAGCATCAGCTTGGACCATTCAGTTCAGCCCAGTGGGAGGATGAAGAAGGAAACACAGAGACACAATGAAATGTGTGAAAAGATCAACTAAATTAACTAGATAATGTGGCTCACATCAGTGCTGAGGTCAGAGAAATAGTGCAGAAATGGCACATGGCTTCTAGGCCACGTCCAACACTGACAGCTCACGGCTGGCTGCCTAATACTTGTTCACTGAATACCTGACCAAGAGGATGAAGATAAAATTGTTGCTCTTTCACAATTTTATGTACAAAGAGTTGCCTAAACTTGTGATGATGTTTTTAAAGTTAAGGCGTTTTTTGAAAATGCCATTTCTTCCTCATCTGTCATGCCGGCCTGTGCTTTCTGAAATTTAATACTGTGACAGAAGTGGGAAAAGAAAACTTTAATGAGTTTTTCAGTATTCTTCCTTGCTTTTAACTGTTACAACTGAGAGACTGGGGTTAGAAGTATTTCCAGATACGAAATTTTTCTTTTCTTCCTGTCACTTACTTTTTATCACATAAGATGTCCAGCAGTTAGCTCCTTATTTTACTTCAAAACACAGCACATGCACAAACACACGCAACGGAACCAATGACAGTATCTCAATGATTTTAACAGACATGAAGATATGAGAAGTACGAATAAAAATCCTGTGATAACTATATAAAGAAATGCCTTTGGCTTTTTATGAAGCATTGACGCCTCAGAGGTGATCCCACCAGACAGAAATATAGCTGTACAGTGGGAGACCACAATATGAGAGACAATCAGGAAACAGTCTGGACACAATGTTATCTCAGAGACATGGAAAAATGTATATTTATATACTCACAGTGTAGGTAGAAGTCTGAGCTATCAACAGAAGGGGAAGAGTTGAGAGGATAATTTGAAACATCCTGAGTGGAAAATATAAATTACCAGCCTGGGGAGGGGTGAGAAGCACGATTGCTTTTGAGCAGGACCAGAGGTGTGTAATGAAGGAGAGACTCACTGTGCCAGGCCTGGGGTATGGGATGCGTCCCTCGTACTGCACCCAGCGGTGATCCGCGCTCTCCTTGTGCGCGTAGGGGCCATTGAACACGGCCCTGATCTCGGCCATGCTGTACACACACACTGCAGAGCCCTTGAACACCGAGCTGCAAGATGGAGAAGGATGAAACTGAGTCAGGACAGGTTTAGGTTGGGTGTCAGGAAAAGGTTTTTCACCCAGAGGATGGTTGGGCATTGGAACAGGCTCCCCAGAGAAGAGGTCACAGCCTGACAGAGCTCTGGAAGCATTTGGACAATGTTCTCATGTACATCCTGTGACTCCTGGGGGTCCTGCACAGGGCCAGGAGTTGAACTCCATGATCCAAATGGGTCTCTTCCAGCTCAGTGGATTCTATGATTCTAAGAGTCCATGATTACAGGAGAATCTGAGGGGTTGTGAGGGAACTCATTTAACGTGGGCAGGCTGCAAACAGCCCCGGTGCCTCAGCCAGGGAGCCCCTGACGGGGCTGGGATCAGTCCCACACCTGATGTGCTGCTGAGCATCAATGAGCACAGGTCTGCTAACTACAGATATTTAATGTCACTGCTGTTGATGCCTAGGGAGGCTACCTGGAACAGAGGCTAGACAGTGTTAAAGGAATAAAGTAGGTATTTATTAAAAGGCCTTTAAAGGATACACCTTGGGCAACGCAAGAGCCCAGCTGGGGATCTACCCAAGATAGCGTTAAAGGAATAAAGTAGGTATTTATTAAAAGGCCTTTAAAGGATACACCTTGGGTATCCTTTAAATGCAAGAGCCCAGCTGGGGCTCTACCCAAGATGGACCAGTCACAAGTTTTCACACTTTTATAAGTTTTGGTCCATTTACATATTGGGGTTAATTGTCCCATTACAGGTTCAGCTTATGAAGTCCCATCCCCACAGATTGCTCTCCTCAATTCCCTGCTATTTATACTTTTTGGGCCTGAAGCTGCAACGCTATTCTTGGGCTGGAAAATTATTCTTTTGTATAACTAAACTGTGAAGAGAACTTGCTAACACTTTATATGAAGTTCAGAGTTATACATTAAAGCAGTACAGAATCTGGAAAACATGAAAGCTAGAACTTAAGGCATCTTTGTTACAGTTTTAAGCTTTGCTCGGTTGAAACCTGGTTTGACCTTTGGGACTATTTGAGTGTCATTTTTCTAGTGGCTGACAGTCTCCAGCTATCATTTACTAGCTTTATTTTTACTAGCTATTTTAATTAGAATTTTATCCATTGAAGGACATTCATTTACATTGTGTTCACATCTAGAAGTCCATATATTAGTGATATAAGTGAGGTCCCTGAGAATTAAATGTTGCATTGGAAAGACCAAAAAAGAACAAGATATAAAAATAAACACTTATTGAATTTTCATGCATTTTCCCTTTTACATTTAAAATGTATTTGTCTAAAAAAATCTAAAACATTTCAGTTTTCCAAAGAACACCATGCGAAGTTGCTGAGTAGCATGTACTTTAGTTGTTTCACAAACCATTTCATTTATTGTGCAATATTTACTTCAGTTTTAGAGTATTTTCTGTGGTTCCAGAGAGCTACTGTGGTAACTGCTTCTGAATTAAGGAGTGTCTTGGCAATTCCTCATTGTACTCATACTCGTCAGCATTTGGCCAGTCATTATTTACACTAAATTCAAAGGTTCTGGAGACAAAAGAAAGAATTTTTAATTTTCTTTCTGACTTTTTCGAGAGAGCACCTCACTATTGATCTGAAAGGTCATTAATTAATTAGTGCAACCCCCTGAGATAAAATTGGGTTATCCTTTCATTAACTCTGAACTATAAAATCACTTAACTATCAGTTTAGAGAGTAATTTTGATACTAAGAAATAGCAGATGTCAAAGTGTTGCTTACAGAAATGAGGCTTCACAGCAATAATTTGCCTAAAATTGTAACTATTGGTTCCTCAATAAATATGAGGATAAATATTTACAAATTCACTGGATGAAGCTCAAATAATCTAGTTTGCTTTTGATTGTTACATTTACATTAATTTTTACAATCACTCTCAAAAGTTAGGCACACAAAGGTTTACGGACATAATTTATTATTTCCAGTTCTGAAAAATATTGGCCTCCGTGACTACAGCCCTGACATTGGACACCTAATTCCAGTAGTCCCTAACTGCTCTCAGGAATCAGGATCTAGTCTAGAAGACCTGAGAATATACAAAAGTATAAAAGTTCTGAGTAAGATCTTCATCATTTGTTTCCAGAGGTAAACATGATCCCAACACACACCTTGTTGTAGTGAAGACTCCATACACAAGAGGGTTCCTCTCATCTCTTGTAGAAAGTAAGAATATATCTTCTGCAATGAGAAAAATATATTTGGAGATTTTAATTTTTTTAGTTAAACATCCATTGACTATTTCTACATTAACCACCTGTAACTAGGAAATTCATAAAAACATAACCAGCTTTTATTTTTGTTGGAATTTTAGTTTCTGCCATGTGAATTTGCAGCAATATTCTGAAATGTGTTCATTTGCAGATAGTGTGGGTTTTATACCAAATCAGATTTTTATTTTCCAGTTTTTGAAGGGAAAGGGAAAAACACTGTAATTCTGACCAGATCAATATTAGTTATAATCAGGGACTTCTGATCAAAGTCAGAGGTATTACTAGCCCTGTTTGGAAGAAGATTCAAATCAAAACAAGACACTTCTATAAACCAGAGAGGAAAAAAATACAACAAAAGCAGGTATTACTAATGTCAAAATAAACCAGTAAACATAAATCAACTTACGCAGCTCATCGAAATGTGTGTCTGTCCCTTCAGGACCAGGTATGGAACACACAAGCCTGGCTTTCAGAAAAGTTGTCCACTTGTTTATTAGGCTTCTTTGGCCTCCCATATCATTCTAACAAAAATAAAATTAAATTCTTGAATATTACAAAAGTAAGGGCTTTAACACATGACAGCACAGTATGGACCGGCATCTTCTGTCTGATTCCACGGTTGGCTCTAACCACAACAACATAAAATATTTTTTTTTCATTTTCTTTTTCCTAAAAGAGTGCAGGAGAGCCTTTTTCTAAGTAGTTTCTGTAGTTACTTATCAGCTCAGAGAGGGCAATTTAAATTTTCAAATTATACCCAAAACTGATTGCAAAGTTCCTTCACCAGCTTTTTAACTGGAATATCCATATCCCATGATTTCTGGCTCACTGTGAGGCTATTTTTTATAATTACTTGTTCTTCAAAATTCTTTACAAACCAAATAACAGAACAGAATATTTTGGATAGATTTTGCAAAAAAAAAAGGTAAACTATATTTATCAGGACGTTACAATGCAAATACTGCACTGTTTTTTTTGTGTACACAGCACAGAGAAAAATGCATTCCAGGTAAAACCAAAGTCATATTATTCTAATAATCATTGTTACAGAAATATCAGTCTGTCCTCCTGCAACAGGGATTTTTTTCATTTATTTTACTATGGGTTTCCAAAACATAAGCATGCTTGCCCAAATTTCCTTTAGCCACTGGAGAAAGAAAAAATCTATAAAGGATCATATGAAATTTGAATTACCTTTCTGAAGGCTAAGTGACCTTCTACTGACTTGGATCAGCAGAAATTTATGGATAGTAGATTTTAGAAGACTTAAATTTTAAGAAGCCAAACTAGGAGTTTGCTCATGTACTTCTTCCATGGACTACATGAAGGACCCTGCTGGTTCCAAACAGCAGAACTATTTAGCTTCTGCAAAGCTATTTGGCCCCCAGAACTCTTTATCCTAAAAATGATAAGGGCAATGATATACCAGCAGGAAGCAAGAATTGAAACACTTAAAAGGAATGTTATCACCAGCAATAGCCTCCCAGCTGCAGGTTCTGAATAACCCCAGGAAGGTACCTCCTCCCCTCAGTTATAAACTCTGAAGCTTAGGGGATCTGTGCTATAAGTTTAAGGACCACGAATTTAGCCATAAATATTTGGCCCCTTCAGATTCATTAGGAGAAATCACTTTTTTGTTAATTCACTTTGCAATCTGAAGGCATAGAACCAGCCAGAGCAGGAAACACTGAGGGGTAGGAATTACATGTCATCACCATAGATTGTATTTGGCCCTTCAGGGCTGTGTCATACATCCTACAGGCATTCAGAAAGATGGTTCTGAGTGCTGAAATCACTTCACAAGGAGTAACACTTCTCTGGTAATGCACTCTAACTGCTTTTCCTTTTCATGTACCTGCTACTTTCAAACAGATTAGCTCAGTTGGAAATGATTCCTGTTAATATATGGCCTTTGGAACTCCTGCTCTTACAAGAATTGCTGCCTCCTCTCTTGATTTCCTGAGGTTCTGCCAAGCCTGAAGCTTTGCATCTACCCAACAGATTTATTACAAAGGTGTCAAAATTAGCAGCCTGAAGCAAATAGCAAAAAAACCCTCTGCATGTGTGTGTTCTGTTCAAAGGCAGAGCAAACAGACTTTGTGGTGCAGCTGAAACCAAACAACTACAAAGATGCAACAAAGAATGTTAAAACGCAGGGAGTGTTAAGATTTTCCTTCCTCTGGCAATTCAGATTAGCTAAGCAAATTTCACATTGCAGGGCTACCACTTTGATTTCTGGTGGATGCAGTGTAGCACCACAGGAGATGAGATGTCTCTAACTACCTGACTAAAATCTGAGAACAGGAAGAAAACATGGAGCAAGTGATGGGGCTGGAATAGAAGAAGGACCCTTGTCTAGTTCCTACTCCTGTCACTGCAGCATTCAGCTTCTGCAAGACATGGGAAGATATGTACTTGTGTTTTACCAACCTTAACTTGTGATCCACCACAGCTTTTTCACAAATGCTTATTTTAAATGTATCAGTAGTTCCACTGAGTTGCTAGAGAGCAGTGTGAACCAAACATTGTGCTCAAAGGAAGCAATCTTAGCCAGTGTTATGTGCATTAAAGTATAAAATATATGGATTTAAGATGTATCTATATTTGCTTGCTCTCAAGCCAGGACATGATGTTAACCATGTTATTTGAATTTAAGAGGCATTAGAACAGACATTCACTTGGTGTGCTTTACATATCCAAAAGCTGCCAAAGTAACACTGTACACTTTATAATGGAGCAAAGGGGATTCAGTGACCAGTCAGCATTCCAAGAGCTACCAAGTCCTTCTGAAGCCAGAGAATGACAAATTTATGGTGCAGAGAGCCTGAAAAGACCTTTCACTGATTTAGACAGTTACACATATAATATGCTGACATATCCTTCAACATGATTCTTCCTACTGCCACGGCTGAGCGAAATAAAAAGCACATTTTACTATGAAGATATTTTTGCTTGTGGTTTTGGGGGATTTTTTGGATCAGTAGACATATAGTACTCCTCAATTCTATATGTCATCTCTGTTTAATACAGTGTCTTTCCTTTCCTACAACATGCCCAGGATTCATTGAGATTGACTGAGAAAGTGCAGGAACTGACAAATGCTATGATGATTTTATCAACGTACAGAATTAGTTCAGCTCAGACTAAGAAGGTTCAGAAACTATAAATAGTCTAGGTATGTCTTTGCTCCTTGAGTTGTACAGAGTTTAAAGTAAAGTATAATTTATCTTACTAAGCTCTGTAAATGTCTATTTTTTTAAGAAAGGCCACCCCTTCCTTCCTCATACTATTTACTGGTGCATATTAGGTCAGTCATTGACCCATCTTGAGGCTTCAGGTGATGGAGAACATGCAATTGTTCTCCTTTGCTTCCATATTGATGTGCACTCACTCACTCTGCATCGTATCTGCCCACTCTGGTGGAGATTCCTTGCACCCTCATCATTCCTGATTATTGGCCTCTGAGAGGCTGCACAAAGGAAATGCTGGCCCAAGTTATTTTTGGGACTGGGCTGCTACAGAAAGAAGACAGCCTCTTTTGCCAAAGAGATTATTTAGTAGTAGCAGTCTGGGATGAATCACTGGTGCGCTCAAATGCTGTGAGCTGGCTGGAGGGCAGGACATAAACACAGCAGATGCACAGGCTGGGTAGTCAGAGGATTAGAAGAAATGCATGGAAGAGGGAAAATCACCAAAGCAAAGTCCAGTTAGTGCACAGGTGGGCAGAAGTGAGGATTAAACACCAAGTCATAGACTCCTAAGAAGCCTATTCAGCTGATTTATACCAAGCAAAGGTTTGCCTCAAGCCTGTTTAAGTAATTAACTGGATGTACTGAAATGATTTTTGACAAGAAATATGGTCTGAATACAAAGAACTCTAAATATTTCAGGGAGATTGGACAAGGAGACAAGATAAATTTAAGTGCTGAATGAAGGGGAAGGCAGCATGAACAAGCCTTTCATTCCAAAAATATGGCTAATCTTTTAACAGCCAACCAGCCTTGAGTATCTGAAATCTTATCTCCCAAAATATCACTTCCAAGCACACTGGATTAGCTGTGTTTACTATAAACTTTGTTACTGGACAGATGAAGGCACTTAGGGACTGCATATTTCATTTTGAATATAAATAAAGCTTTAATTAGCACTTACTGCTTTGTAATCTCACAAGCTGTAACAAATACCAACACTTCTGCCTGAAATACTTTCTTTTTAACAGAAAGAAGTGCCTGTAAAATCTTGGTTACTTGTGCTTGCCTGAGTTAGAAATGTAGATAGTTGCCAACTAGAAGGGGGGCTGTTCAACCTGTCACCTGTTGAGGAAATACTACCCCAAAATATCACAAAAAAAATTAAGCACAAATTACTTGGATAAATGGGGAAGTAATCCAATAGGACTTTAATAAGTCAGGCAGACTCTCATTTACAGAAATCCTAAAATTTCAACCCTTTTCATTGAACTGGTTGCAGAAAACAATTTGTTGGAGTGAGAAATCAGGCTTCTACCAAATTACATTGAGAATTCAAACATCAGATGTCCCATTTCCATGAGCATAGGTAATTGTATGGCTTTCTGACATTGAGGAAGACTGCTGTTTAAATGGCAGAGTGTAAATTTTGTGAAGTAATTTAAGGTCACGTCATGCACCTCTGTTGGGAGTCTTCCATGGAAATTTCAGTTTTCTGATCTGCAATTTATGTGCAATTAAGCAAAACAACTTAATTGCAGATTAAGTTTTTTCAAACCATCTAGCTAAAGATAAGTTCACATGAGAATAAAAGCCATCAGAAAAGATACTGCTCTATGATCAAGTGATTTAAAAATCAACTTATATTAAAGACTTTCTGTCATATCTATTTCCTATTCCGTTGTATCTTATACTATATAAATATAGCTTCATTAAAATGAACAAATGTTAGTCTTGGAATCCAGTAGGCAGGAAAACAGATGGCAACAAAACTAAAGAACATCTGCATCTTTGGGGATTTAAATCTCTTATTTGCTTGTAAGTAACAGTGACAAATTGAACATTAGAACAAAAAGTGCAGTTATCTGAAAAATCAGTCTACATCAAAGATGTCAAACACTGTGATTCATAAAACTTTAAAGACAGTAATTATCCTGAACAGCCTCTAAAAGGAAGGAAAAAAAAAAGGAAGAAAAAAGAAAAAAGACAATGAGTGGAATTTCTAGAAGCAGGTTATTAATTACAGCCAGTGGCAAGATGTGCAAAAGGACTACCCAAAGAGAATTCCTGGCCTGAATAAAAGGAAATGTTGGGAACAGAGAGGAAAAGTGCTGAAACTGCAAAACGCCCTGGAGCCTTTCTCTTATTGAAGCTTAGCTATGTGACAAAGCTACCAGAAACAAATGGCATCCCCTGAAGCAAAGCCTTACACTATGGAGGAGAAAACCTCCAACCTTGCAGCTGACTTTATAAATGGGGAAATGGCCAACAGTCTCCTTTCAACTTCTATCTTCAGGTCCACAGTTCTTTCTTTAATTATTTTGTTTTACTTT